AGTTTGTGTTTAACAAAATTCCTAAGTGTGTTTAAGAGCTGTTTAAGGTTGATTTCATCAATTTGTTTTCAAGAAAAGTTTTTCATCAACAAGAAGTGGCCTTCAAATCCCATTGGGATCATCCTCTTATGTTCTTCTTGCTTGAGAAGTTTTCTAAACTCTTATATAGCTTGTTATTTCACTTTCATTTCATTTAGCCATATTTATTGAGTTTCATTCACTATTATCACACACATATTTGAGCTTAGTATTTTCATACTATATAGTGTGGGTTGTGGGGTGTGATTTAGTGAGTGTGAGCTTCATTGTGTTCTCACTTGTTAATTAAGAACAAATCATTGTATTTAATTTTTATTTGTGAGAATCACTTGTAATACACTTGTACACCGAGAGAAATGTGAGGCGAGAGACGGGGTCAAATCCAATAGGAGTGGCGTCGATTGACGAACCTAGGGAGAGGTTGTAATCGAGCACTTGAGGAGGAGGACACGGGCTAGGTTCCTACACTTAGTATATAAAGTGTGATTAATTAGTGATTGTGTAGTGTGAGAGTTTTCGGTGAACTTGTAAACCGAGTGTGTAGAAGTTCCGGCTTCCAAACCGAATTGTGATAGTGGATATCTCCTCGAGGTGAGGAGCGGGGACATAGGTCGTGGGGACCGAACCTCGTAAACATATCGTGTGTTTGTGTTTTGCTTGTCTCATATTTTATTTGTGCATATTCTTGTTGTTCTTATTGTTCATATCTATCTCTTGCAAGAACATATTGATCTATATAATTTTAATTAGCATTTTATTGGGATTAAATTAGCATAAGACCCTAATCACCCCCCTCTAGGGTCCAACAAAATTCACTTATCAATCCTTGTCAATAGGATGATAAGTCTACAAAGTTGCTCTGATCGCAACACAAATCCTGTCACGTTAACACTACACCTCTGACAAAATCAACTTATCGACTCTTGTCAATAGAGCGATAAGTCCTCAAAATTGTCCGATCGCAAATTCTTCTTGTCACGTTAATATCACACCTCTGACAAAATCCACTTATCGACTCTCTTCAATGGAGCGATAGGTCCACAAACCCATCAAGTTAACACCAACTCTCTTCAATAGAGCGATAGGTCCATAAAATACTGTTAGGTTAACATAACACCTCTAACAGTTAACCCCCCAATGAACTTGTTAATTCTTTTTCAATAAGAATAGCAAGTTTTCATTATAAAATCCCCAGCGGATTAAAGATTTTCTGGAATTATCCTAGTGATAGTGAAGAAAATTTTTAAATTTTACTCTAAGTGAAAAATCATGCCAAGTTAATACTACACCTCTGGCGCTTCTAACGGTCTTTTAGTGTTTCAAGTCACACAGGAAGAAACGACACCAAAAATCCATGCCTTCATGCATGGGGGACTTTATCTCGATCCCTAATTAGAGATAAGTCTACGCCTAACACGCGTTACCGGTTAATCTTTCGCCGTAAAAAAGACACCAGGATTCATGCCTGAGGGAATCTATCTCGACCCCTAAACAGAGATAAGCCTGCATCTAACACATGCTGCCGGGTGGTTCGTTCCCGTGAAAATGACCAAGTCTACGTATTCAACATCGTAGCACCAATATTCATACCTTTCACGTATAGGGGACTTTATCTCGATTCCTAATTAGAGATAAGTCTGTATCTAATACATGCTTCCGGGTAGCATATTCCCGTAATAATGGCAAAGCCTACGTATTCAATATCGTAGCAGGTTGTTATTAATAATGTTAAAATCCATGCTTTACACGCATGGGGGACTTTATCTCGATCCCTAATCAGAGATAAGTCTACGCCTAACACGCGTTGCCGGTTAGTCTTTTCCCGTAAAAATGACAAAGTCTATGTATTCAAAATCATAGCGCTAAGTCTAAGAGAGTTCATTCTTTTAGCACAACGTTACATGTGGAACGGATTTAGACAATCCACATGCTAGCCCGACTCAAACGGTAGTCGGTAAAGGCTTATCAAATCCGTTGATGGCTGAGGGTTTGCCAAAAATCCTATGCATGTTCGTAGGTCCATTAGCTTAATGGATGTGAACCGAACAAATAAGCTAAAGACAAGTCTCAAAGACTTAGTCAAAAATGCACGATAGCCGCTTTCATGTCTTAAGTCAAAGCGCCAAGATCAGAGTTAAGATCCAAAGTATTTTGAAAATTCGTCTCAGTCAACCGCGAACTTTCGAAAACTTTGGAGGGGGTTCTGTAGGCTGTCTAAAAATCACAATAGATAGCTTATCCCCCATCAAACACCGATGATGGAAGTTACAATCTGACGACTTCCAGAAGGCCATAATTTGAAGACTTGCACGTAGACCGCTGAAGGTTACAATCTGACGACCTTCACGACAACTGATGAAAGCTCTAATTCAACAGCCTTCACAATCAACATCGGGAATTATAATCTGATGACTCTTATATTTTCAAGGAGCCAAGACGAATGTTACAATGTGACGATCTTTGCAACGCTCTAGCAAAAGAGACTACAAATTAACGGTCTCTTCATATTAAAACGCATATATCTCTCAAACCGTAAGGAATTTGGCAAAATGGAGGAAGCGAACCGAAGCCTTTGGCTGGGTTCGGATGGCTCCGTCTCATCGAGATAGCCGATTTTCATATATAATTCGTCCAATTTCGACTTACGGTTTGAAAGTTATGACATGTTCTTCGTAGCAAGTCATGTTCCGAAGACCGTCTGCAAGACTGGACTTCGTCTGAACATTGGACTTAGCCTGAAGCTCGCCAAGCCCGCCTAAGGTTCGCCTCTGCATTACAGAGTCAAAACGCACTGGTCGAACCAGCGTTATAACATCAAAATGCAGAGGACATCCTTGTGATATAACATCAAAACGCAGAGTTCATGCAGAGCTCAACTCTGCATCCCAGGTCCAAAACGCAGAGTTCATCTCTATGCGGCATAAATTTGCGTTTTCAGCCTAAAACAGGCTCAGCTGTGCGTTTACAGGCTCAACTGTGCGTTTTCAGCCTAAAACAGGCTTAGCTGTGCGTTTACAGGCTCAACTGTGCATTTTCAGCCTAAAACAGGCTCAGCTGTGCGTTTACAGGCTCAACTGTGCGTTTTCAGCCTAAAATAGGCTCAGCTGTGCGTTTTCAGGCCCAACTGTGCGTTTTCAGCCTAAAACAGGCTCAGCTGTGCGTTTTCAGGTCCAACTCTGCGTTTCAGGTCCAGAAACGTACAGTTCAGGCCCAGAACGCTGTTTTCAGCGTTTGACTCCTTCAAGCACGATTTGAACGGTTCCAGAACCGTTTTCTCCCCAAGATTTTAGGGGATCACTACCCTATCATAGAGAGATTTATGGGGGGGCGGTTACACCCCACTCAGCCCATTGAGGAGCAAATTAAGGGGGCGGTTATACCCCTTTAATCCCCTATAAATACCTCGAAACTCAATTGAGTTCGGATCCTCCTTTAATCCCCTATAAATATTCGGCTGGCTGGAGCTGGCTCTTTGGGGATCCTTGATCGGGCATCTTGGAGCTTTTTGCAGCAACAAAGTCCTTGGAGCATTCATCCTTGGCTTATAACCGACTTTCGGTTAAATCAACTCTTTTTCAAGAGTTCAAACTCGTTCATAGTTAAACTCGAGTTGAACTCGATCTGAGTTATCAACTTGTCCAGAGTTTCAAAACTTGCTCTGCAAGTCCTTCTAAAACTCGCTTTGAGTTATTAACTCGTTAAGAGTTATTTTCAAACTTGTCACGCAAGCTCTCCACAACGTCAAATCGTGAGGAGAAGACCACGTTCCAGTGAATCAAGACGTCGGATCGTCAACGAGAAGCAAACTCGACGCGAGCATTCAAGGGAGGCATCTCATCGCCGCCGTGAAGAACCCAGACTTAAACAAAGGGGAGAATCAAATTCATTCTCCTCTCTTTTGTAATCGGAATCCAATTGTAATCGATTTTGAGAGAATACAAATCAATTTTTCTTTCATTGTTTTTTTACTGCAATTTTTTCACAAACAGTCACTTCATTATGGGAGAATGTACCTTCGTATTTTTCGGGAAGTGATTGAGCTGACAAGTCATGGAGATTTATCAGGCCAAAATCTGGATAGGACTTGGTCGAGGTGGACTGTGATGTCGACATTTGCTCTGGGGGAGAGGCTTGATGCTGGGGTTGAGTCCTCAACTTAGTCGACAGTAGGGAACGTCCCTTAAGTCATTTTTTAGAAATGTCTAGTGAGTGGTTGAGTGGTCCTAAGTAGGGTCGTCCTTAATAAGAGGGTCGACCGACACCGTATTTCGTGTCGACTTAGGAGTGTCGGTCTGTCCGACTGGACGAAACGTCGTCTTATCTCAGCTTAATAACCGTCTTTCGAGTTGATATAAAGATGTTGACTCGTCTGGAATGTTAGGATCTCTCGTATCGGCTAATATCGTCTCTGTGTTGACATCGGGGTGCCGACTTGATGAGTCGATGGGGTCGAGGTCTCCGTAATTGTGTCTTGGGTTTATACCTTGATAAGATACCATGGTCTTGTAATCTAGCCATGATGGTCGAGTTGTACTGGAGGAATCGACCACACTGGAGGAATCGACCTTATGTGGCGCTTTGGGCTTACCTTGCTAAAGAGCCAATGACTTATTAATCGACTTAGGAGTTCACTGCCTAGAACTCTTGAGAGTTAACTAGGACTCTTATTGCATTACATAGCAAATATTATATCTTGGGTGAGTGAACACCTTGACAGATAAGGACCATCAGTTTTAATTCCGTGACTATCAATTCTATTCTGGGCTGGGTTATTTAAAAAAACGTGGTATATGATTTCTGCATGATAAATAATGAGCTTAAAAATGTTACAAATTTTGCATACCTAAAACGAAATTATATAATAAATAATAGGTGTATATATATCGACACCAATACATGCTTATCTACTAGTGCTACACGATTTGCCTCATATTGCAGGCTTTATTAAAAAACTGAAAACCTGACACAATAAAGGCAGCAACGATATATATTCATATATAATCTGTGACACCAAAATTTTCTTAAGCGCTTGTAACTTCCACGGCCCTTTCCACAAATACTACACAGCCACCGGAAGCCAAATGAAAAATCTAAATAAAAAAAAAGAACACCGAGATCTTTCTCGGTGATAACAGAAAAAAAAAAAAAAAAAAAAAAAAATAAAAAAAAAAAAAAAAAAAAAAATAAAAAAAGGTGTTCCTTTTTGTTGTTAATTGTAGAATATACGCTGAATTGCAGAGGACTAGCCATTTACCATCCTAAATTATATTATTAGCACTTTCACACTCTTGATTTCAAAACGGAATCCTATTCGGTTAAAAATTAGAATTCCGTTTAGACATCAAATGATTTAAGCGCTAATAAAATAGTTTTAAAAAAAATAGCTAATTCCCCTGGCACGGACGGTACATCTGCAATTTTTTAACCCTTGATGAGCAGCGACGAGCTCCGGGAGCCAAACATCTGCTCAAGAAGAATAACAATCGCCATAGCAGTCGCAGCATCACACCCAGGCTGCACAATGAGCCTGAACACGTCAAGCCCGAACGCAACTCCACCGCTGGATTCTTTCCTTTTAATCTCCGCAATCTTCCGTCGAGTGTCATCGTATATCACGCAGCAGCGCTGGGTGTAGGATCCCTCGACCTCGAATGTTGGGGTTGAGCCTGCCCTCGGTGATGAGCAGGGCGAGGACGAGCCGCTGCTGAAGGGGGATCTTGGAGAGGAGCATGGGGAGTTGCTGCGGCTGCTGGACTTGAGGGAGTAGCAGTGGTTGATGTGGGCTAAGGTTTTGGTGGGGAGGAAGTTGATTTGTTTCTTGACGGAGAACCGGGGGTTGGTTGATTCTTCGCCGTCATAGATCAGCCAGTGGTCGCCGAGGCTCAGCTTCTGGCATAAGAAATTGGATCATGGTATCTTTATAAGACGATATTAAATCGACTCAACTACATAAAATTTCAAATTTTAGATGTGGTTGGAACACTAAAACATTATCGTAAAAGCAGAGTAGATGAAAATACTTATTTTATTTGAAATTTTCTTCAAATAAAATAAATTGTTAATATAAAGTTTTTTTTTTTTTAGTGTACTGGTTGGGATATGATTTAGTAAGACATGTATGAAGGAATGAGCTAACTATGGCTTCCTATGAGAAATAATTTCATAGATAGTTATGAATATTAAATTTATATGAAGAAATTAATGATATGAAATTTTTATTTAATACGTCTTAAGGAAATGACGTACATATAGAAAGCGACTACAAAGCGAAGTGACACCTTTACAGTTCACACTTGCCTCTGAAAAAGAGTTAATATATAATTAGAAAGCAAACGTCAATTCGTATTTTGCTTCTTAATCAATCATCCGTGGGCCAATCGCCAATCGCGCCGCATAGCTAAGGCTACATCCTATAAGAAGCAAGGTCAACTTTAAAAGTATTTTTAAAATGGGAAAATTGATACATTCACCTAATTTAGAAACTGATACACTTTTTGATTTTTGGGGTTAATTAAATTAAGCGCGCAGAAGGCCTAAAGTGAAATAACTCGTAGAAAAACTCATCATCTCACTAGCTAGTTTAAAGAAATCCAGAGTTATATGCATCCTCGTCCAAAAACCTAGATCTAAACTAAGCTAGAGTCTTTAGCCAACTTATTTGCACAACAATTGCTTTCGCGATCTACCATCTCTTTAAGGTCACATAAAACTATAGAACTATTTTTAACAAAACTTTATTATGCCGTTTATGATGGAATCCTGTTATTCCGGTGTAAAGCATGCCATATCTGTAACTAGAGGGTCTTTAGTGAAAGTATCCGACAAATAGCACAAACTGAAGGGTGTTTAACGCAAAAACATACCTTCCGTCGGATCGTTAGCAGCGGTTTCCCCGAGGCATCCATCAACACGATCTCCCCTTTATTCTCCGACGCATAGTTATCGACTCTAAACACCAGATCCCCTTTACCGTCAAATACCGTGAACCCGTTACCGTTAAATAGCAGCGACTTCCGCCAAACCGTCAGCACTTCCGTCTCCTCGGCTTCTCTCCCCGTTAACGCCGTCTCCTCCCTCTCCTTAACAGCGTTATGGACGGCAGCGTTTGCATTCGGATGGACTCTCGTCATCCGCACGAATTTACTCACGAAAAAAGCCGAGCGAGGTGAGCGAAAGAGTTTTTTTTTTTGGTTGGCTTCCACTCTCGTCTGACATCCTCCCCTATTTATACCCCTGATGGACGCAAATGCCCTTGATAAATGACGAGGGATGCCGCCCGTCACGTGATAGGGGGATTAGTCGTGATCAGGGATTTGTCACTATTAGAACCTCAAATCCTTGGTATTTTTAAATTAGCTCCTCAAACCATTGAATTGTTATTAGGCCCTCCAATTCTTGTGTGTTGCTAATGCTACATTCGACTAAAGAGATTAATTTGAAACAATTTGTAAGTATTGGAGGATCTAGCGTAAACTCAAAAGAACAGAACAATCCCTAACTGTTACCTACCTAGTATTTCTACGAAGTCGTTAACCTAACATTTTAATCATCAAGTTATTATAGTTATTATTTTAGGTGTATTAAACCGTCATGGTAGTCCTCCGTCCTAAACATGGGAAAAAAACTATTAAGTTGAAGGTAAAGTGGGAATGTTTTTTTTAGAGTGGTGTTAGGGGCACACCCCAAACCACACCTCCAACCACACCCCCTCTCTCATTCGCTACAGTACTCCGGACCCCACATGAGTTTTTAAAATTTAAAAACTCATGTGGGGCCCGGAGTACTGTAGCAAATGGGAGAGGGGGTATGGTTAGAGGTGTGGTTTAAGGTGTGCCCCTATCATTTCTTTTTTTTTTAAGGGGGTGGAGGGGAACTACCGTGAGAACTCGATAGATTGGAAATAATAACTACAAGTGCTTAATGTTAAATTATTATTAGATTATTAAAGACTTATTACAAATGCTAAATTAACGATCTGACTTTCAGTTTGCAGATCTAAAACCAAATTTAGTAATTTGAGAGACTATTTTTCAAAATTTTTATAAGATTTGAGGGAGCAGATAACAATTTCAGTGATACAAGAGATTGATTCGAAAATATTAAAAGTTTTTTTTTCACGTTAAAAGAAATTAAACATACTAATACGGAAACGACAGTTATGATTATTATAGTTTAGGGCGGTATTAATTAAATGATGATTGTCTTTGCTTCCAAGGTAAAATGAAGATTGTGGATGGAGGAGTGCCACGTGGCAGGTGGATAGGGACGCGCTGGGTATTCAATTGGCTGAAGATAAGTTTCCGGCCTGTCAGAGACTCAAAGATTTTAGTGCGTATCTTGTCATGGAGACTGGGGCCATCATTTAATCATTATTAGTTGATTATTAAATGAGGGAGATAATGATAACAACTAACAAGGATAATAATGCGATTAACAAAGCGTATTAATGTTTGTTGTGGTATCGTTTACCAATTACTTCCTTCATACGTGCGTAAACGGTAAACGCATAACTGTTAAGTTTAAATTATGTGGTTAAATTGTGATACGTTACTGCAAGTATTAGTAATAAGAATGTCAACGTGCTTGCACATTGTTCTATGACCTGTTCAAGCTCAATATATCATTTTGGATCTTGAGTGTCGTTCTCTTTGGTGTCGATGACATGTATATTTTGATTCTATGGTTATTGGTAAGCTAGTATATAACATCGTGATGATCAATGTAGAGTTGAGCCATGTGTCCTTAAGTAGTTGTTGATGACTTCAGCAAAATGTTATTGTTTGGTGAGAAAATTAAAGAAGAAAATTGAGAATTAAATTTGTATTATTCTCTCTGACGGTTCAGAAAAGAATTAATTACAATTCTGTCTTTGTAATCTCTCTCTAACAAACTTAGAAAAAAAAGTTATAATTCCCTCAATCGGTTTCCTGAATTACAAAAGAGAGAATGGTCGACGGAGATCATTCCCTTTGTTTAACCTGAGTTCTTCTTGGTATCGATGAGATTTCTCCCTCAAAACTCGCATCGAGTTTGCTTCTCGTTGACCATCCGACGTTTCGCCTCGCTGGATTGAAGTCGATAAAACTTATGTGGTAAGTTTAAAAATAACTCTTAACGAGTTTAAGAACTCTGTGCTAGTTTAAACTCTGTAGAAGAGTTGATTTGAACCAAAATTCGGTTAATATACCAAGTGCCAAGACTCCAAGGAGTTCTGTTGCCGAAGAATGCTTCCAGATCGGATGATTGAAGAAGCTCTTTGCTGATCTCTAGATCCGAAAATGCTCAAAAGATCTAAATATCCGAACTAAGCTGATCTTTTAATTATTTATAGGCAATTAGGGGGTGTAACCGCCCCTAAAATCGCTCCTTTGTGGGGCTTATGGGATGTAACCCCCTCCCCCTTCTTAAATCACTCCTGAGTAGAGTTGTGATCCCCTCAAATCGTGGGAAATAGTTTTAAAAACCGTTCAGCTCGTGTTTGAATGAGTCAAACGCAAGAATTACGTTCTGGCATGAATTCTGCGTTCAAACGCAGCATTTGGAAGTTCGAACGCAGCGTCTGGAAGCTCGGACACAGCATCTGGAAGCTACGTTTGCAGCGGTTTGGAAGCTGCGTTTGCAACGATTTGGAAGCTACGTTTGGCAGCGTTTGGAAGCTGCGTTGGCAGCTTGGAAGCTATGTTTGGTAGCGCTTGGAAGCTGCGTTGGCAGGTGAATCTAAGCTGTGTCTGTAGCGTTCAGAGGTTGCGTTTGCGGTCGAACATGAGTTGCATTGACAGCTGGATCTAAGCTGCGTTTGCAGCGTTTGGAGATAAATATGAGCTGCGTTTGCGGCCAGGTTTGAGCTGCATTTGCATTGCTTTGACTCTGGAATGAGACCACTTGTGTTTTGATTTAAAGAGACCGTTAATTTGTAGTTTTTTATTAGAACGTTGCAAAGATCGTCATCTTGTAACATTCGTCTTAGCTCCTTAAAAATATGAGAGTCGTCAGATTGTAACTCCCGATGTTGATTGTAAAGGCTGTTGAATTAGAGCTTTCATCGGTTATTGTGAATGTTGTCAGATTGTAACAATCATCAATCTATGTGAAAGTTTTTAAATTGTAGTCTTTTGGAAGTCGTCAAATTGTAACTTTCATCATTGGTATTTGATGGGGATCAACTATGTGCAATAAGTTTTAGACAACCTACAGTTATACATTTGTTTATTAACAGGTTAATTAATAAGTATCATCATCATATGTGCTATGCGAGAACCCTCTGCTCTACGATCATATTGTTGAATGTCAACCGAGTGTTGTTATGGAGTTTTCTCTCTCTCTCTCTCCTCTCTATTTACCTAGTTGAGATTAAGCAACATCTACTCCTCTATACTTAAAGGAGAATCCAAGGATTAGTATTCATGCTACAGAAAATATCTCAATAAATATTGTAGCATAAACAGTAAATCAAATCTAGCTCTCTGTGCTCAAAATTGGTGTTCATGGTGCAGTAATTTACTGTGGCATAAATCAAATATGCTCATCCATACTTGTAGTTACTATTCATGCTATAGTATTTTACTGTATCATAAACAGTAAAGCAAATCAAATGTATTAAAACTTGGATCATTCTTTAAGTATAGATGAGTAGATAAGATTTCTAAATCAAATGTATTAAAATTTGGATCATTCTTTAAGTATAGAGGAGTAGATATGATTTCTAATTTTAAGCATACAATAATTAAATCAAATGTATTAAAACTTAGAGGGAGACAAGTTCAAAAATTTCTAATTTTAAGCATACAATAATTAAATCAAATGTATTAAAACTTAGAGGGAGACAAGTTCAAAATACACTGCTTAAAAAAAATAGGGGGACGTGTTTTGCACGGGACGCACACTAGTTATTGTTATATGAGCAATCCTCTCATATGACAATGAGTAGTATTAGTGTGAGAAAACCCATATCTCTCATAAACTCATATTTAATTTTCTATTTAGTCAATACGGAGCAAATATATCCTAAATTATACGAATAGGCTAAACTTAGATTGAACACCAAAGAAAATCTTCAGAAAAAAGGCTGGCAAGGTAATTCTATTTGCTCTTTTTGTTCTCTTCAACTGGAAACTAGAGACCATCTTTTCTTCTCTTGCCCGTTATCTAAACAGGTCTGGGATCATTTCAGAAACTTCTTATTTTCATCCCAAGAGCCATCTTCTTTTGGAGACTTTATTCAAATCTTGGTGAAATTACAAAATACTAAAGGAATTTTATGGCGTTCTATCTTTTCTTCAATATGTTGGAGTATTTGGATTGCAAGGAATAAATATCTTTTTGAGCAAGCAAAGTTCAGTCATCTATCTATCATTAACAATGCAATCTCTTGTTTATATGATTGGTCAGGTTCTAAATCTGGTACAAAAGCTCAACAAGTCTTGGATATGCTGGAAAACAACCCTCTTCCTCGAAGCAATTCTTAAAATGTGTTGTTCAGTCTTCTTAGATAGCTTTTTGGGAGAGTTCTTCTTGTATATTATGTTTGGTTAGCTTTTAATACTTTTGTAGCTTGTTAGACATCAGTACTTTAGTACATATAACTATATTTATGGCTGGCTTTGGTTCTTTCTTGTATCTATGTCAACGGTGAATGACGGCAATGCCCTCTCTTCACCTTCATGGATCCCTGAAAGAAGAAGGTCATACATCCCTAGTCATATGGAACTAAGCCTATTGTTATCTAACATCAGGATACATTTCGTATCCATATTTTGTACAAAATATTTTTATCTTTAATTGAACAGGGTATATCCCTTGTTTTTCTATCAAAAAAAAGAATAGGCTAAACTTACTTTCTACGTACGCAATACAATTGAATAACTTAATGGAAATACTAAGTCCAATTACGTATGATTAAGATTTTCTAGCTAACTTCGATTCTTTGCTAGTACTTCAAACTTAACTCATGTACACATACGTAGAAGGAATTTTGAATGGGTTGCTAAAGATAACATTATATAGCTGGAAAATTATTTTTATCTTTATTTTGTTCAAAATCCCATTCTAAATAGGCATGTAGGATTATTTGCTATAAACCAAAGAGAAATAATATCTTACCTTGTCCTACTTGGGATATGAATCAAGGTTTTATATGATATGTAGGATTGATGGTGTGAATTAATGCCTCTGAAATAATTAGTTATCCAAT